GCTGAAAATATTCTAGAATTAGAAACTTGTGGTGGTGAAACAACCTGGTGAATATAGTAAAACCCACCAAATTAACACTTTAAATGGTGGTATTTTTTGGGGTGTGTGTATTGGAGTTTGAACTCAGGGCTTCATGCTTGCAAAGCAGGCATTCTACCACTTGAGCCACACCTCTAGCCCATTTTGCCTGGTTATTTTGGAAATGGTGTCTTGTGAACTATTTGCCTGAGCTGGTCTCGAGCTGAGATCTTCATCTCAGTCTCCCAAGTAGCTAGGATTACAGCCATGAGCCATCAGTGCCCAGCCTAAATGGTGATTTTTTTTTATGAATTATATTTCAATTAAAAATTTAAATGGTGATAAGCCTGTCACCATTTTTACAGTTTGTTTTTTTTTTTCTTTTTTGGCAATACTGGGTTTGAACTCAGGACCTCATGCTTGCTAGGCAGGTGCTCACCACTTGAGCCATTTTGCCAGCCCAGCCTGTTACCATTTAAATCTTTATTATTGTAAAAGTGATACAGAAGTGTTTAAAAACACTGTGAACAATATGAAAAAGGCAATGAAAAAAAGAAAAACCTGACTTTTGACTGCTATAATCATTTTGGTTCAAGGAGCTTCTCAGGTGTGATGAGGATTGACCATGGGCAAATTAATGAACTCTTCTAAAAAGGCTGGTGGCTCAAGTGGTAGAGCACTTGCCTAACAAGCAGGAGGCCCTGAGTTCAAACCCCAGTACTGAAAAAAAAACAAAACAGCCAAAACAACAACAACAAAAAAAAAAACAGGGAGAAAACCCTACAGCTATTCCTTGTGAAGATGCAGGTAAAAAGGTAAAAGCACAGGTAATGCCAGCTATAGTAATCATGTGTGTGCCTGCTTGCCAAGGGGCATGTGTTTCACTGCCTGTAGATGGGATAAGGCAGTTCTATTGCCTGACTTTCTCATGGGCAAAACTTTCCATGTAGAAATGTCATTCACCCGTTAAAAATGAAGAGCTATAGAATTTTCATTATGTGGGTGTATAATGGTTTGTCCTATGGTCTCTCACTTATGGAGTTTTCCATGAATTACTGGAGTCTCTCATTGATTGGTGTTGCTCAGCTCCACCGCCATGTTAGAACACACAAACATTCATTCATTCCACACATGCTTTTGAGCATCTGCTGGGTGTGCAGCTGGAAATGCAGATCCGTGGCTTAAGCCCTTGGTTTGCCTGTTTGACAAAGTGGATCGTGGCCCAGCAGAGGGGAATCTGCTGTCTTTGTGGACCAAGCAAGAATTGACAGCTAGGACAGCCAAGGAAAGTTGGCTATCCAAGAGAGTTGGGCAAGGGTTGCGATAGAGGAAAGTGGAATGTGCTGGAGAGTCACTAGCCTCCCATCCTCCAAGTGCGGGTGTCAGAGGTCAGTGGAGGAGAGAGAAGGATTCTAGACGAGGCCTAGGCAGCTCTGAGTGAGAAAGGGCTTTCACTCCCCTGGTCCTGTTTTGTGCCCCTACAGACCTGGGTGTGCTTTCAGGCCCAGGCCCCCAGCTGGGAACTCCAGAAGCATTTGTCTTGGGGGACAGGGTGCTTAGTTGGGTGACACAAGAGTCTGCCCTTTCGTGAGGCAGGTTGATGAGCCTGGGGGTGCTGAGGGATCTGGGGCCTAACTCCCTTGGCCAACTCACTGCTTGTCTAGCCTGCCTCGGGCCGCTGACTTTCTCTCCTCCCCGGGAAGGAGCCCTCAGGAGGGACTGGGTCAGGCTTGTTTGCCCACAGTGCATGGCAGGCCTTCAGTGTCTTCAAGGGTCTAGGATGTCCTCCTTGAAACTCCTTCGGTGGTCCAGTGTGACTTTTTCACTGGCTGGCAGCTCTGAGGACTTGGCCCAGAGGAGCCCATGCAGAAGGGAGCAGGTGAAATATACCCCATCCCTGACCACCTCCTGGCCTCCGATGCTCCCAGGCTCTGCCCAGCTTCTAGTGTCTACTTTTGCCTCTGGCTGCCTTGAGTCCTGCTGGGTCCTGGACCCCCAGGAGATTCTCCTTCTACCCACTTGGCAGGTTCAGCCTGAATACTCAGGATCAGCTCTGGACAACCCTGCTGAGGACTTGGAGTAGTGAAGTCATACTGTCCCCTGGGGACTTGTCCTGGTCCCAGCCCTGCCTCAGTTTTCTTATCTGTAAAATGGGTAGGATAGTCAGGCCTCAGTGCACTGGGGGCTATTTTACCAATGAGAAACAGTTTTAAATCCTCTGTGCCAGATCTTCCCATGCTCCTTTGTGCCTTCCTACCCCAGAGGAGAAGTTAGGCAGTGGGATTTGAGCACCAATGAAAACAGTGCCTAGAGTTGGAAGTATAAGCTATCCCCATAAATGTGGGAAGATTTGGGACCATCTTGGGGCCACCATGTCTTGGAAACCTGTGTTTACAAGGATGTCACAGGTATTAGAGTTGGTCGGGCCTTTAACTACTCTGATTATAGAGGATAAGTTAAGGCCCAGAGAGGGGGGAGTTTGTGTCCCAGCCACAAAAATGTCCAGACACAGTAGCCTTCCAGTGCCACAATGCTGCCTGAGGGAGTCCCAGATGGATTGGAACACACTCACCCATGAAGCTATTCAGCATCCTGAGACTGCCCTTCAAGGCTGACCTCAGAGTCCATGTCCTCCCCCCTACCTCCGCAGTCAGCACCCTTCCCTGCACCCACTCAGGCCTCTCTGGCTGCTCCCTTTGCAGTGAGTCTTGTTTTTTCCCTGTGCATCTCTCCAGTAAGCCCCTCCAGTGGCTCACCTGTTGCTGGAGCCATTCCCAGCAACCCCTCAACAGCTGGGATTAATTATGCTCGGATGGGCTGGGCAGCTGTGCTCACACCAGTGAGTCCAGAGTCTCAAGATTACAACCTATGGGGTCTTCTCTGGGGTTCAGATAGATTGGAGACAAACCTCCTGATTATAGCCCCAGCCAACTCCTCAGCTTTTGTGGGGCAGACTCTGGGATGCCTCGGTGGTCTTCCAGATGGGCTGGACAACTGGCTACTTTCCTCTTTTGCCTCTGGGCTCAGTCATTTAACCCTCTAGTGACCCAGCCCAACACTTTCCACTGTCTCAGGTGGCCTCAGCTTCCTGCTCTGGGCCAAGGGTTCCCAAATTTTAGCTCTTAGTTTGCTGGGAACTGGTCAAGATGCTCCAGTCTAGGGGTGAGCATGAATGAGCTTGGGCGGCCCAGCTTGCAGACCTGGCCCTGTGTCCTCTTGTGGGCATACTCCTCAGATATGGCTCTTTTGTTTCCTGTCCCTGGGCAGGGCCTTGGTCTTACCTCTCTCTGTGGAGCTGGCCAAATAGTGCTTCTTCCTCCCCCTTTCTCACCAGCAGATGTTCCTGGAGATTTCTCCTAAAAGGACTTATTTATTTATTTTTGTCCCCATTTCTTGGGATATGTCCTCTAGTTGTCCCAGGAGTGCTACATGAGTAACCTGCTGTCCACATGTTCCTTTTTCCCATCTCACTGTCTTGGCCTCAGGTCATATCACATCTGTCTTAGTTCTTTTGTGCTACTATAACAATGTCACAGACTGGGTAACTTATAATTTATAATGAGCATAAATAGGTTGGCTTACAGGATGCCGAAAGTCCAAAATCAAGGTGCCACATGTGGCTAGAGCCTTTTTGCTGCATCATCCCATGGTGGAAGGCAGAAGGGTGAGAGAGCAAGAATTCAAACTTGAAGCCTTCAGGCCTCTTGGAATTGGCATTATTCCATTCATAGGGTGGACCCTGCATGATCCAAACCCCTCCCATCAGGGTTCAACTTCCATCACTGCCACTTTGGGGATTAAGTTTCCAGTGCATGCTTTTGGTGGGTCAGGGGGGCATACTCAAACCATAGCAGAGATGGTGTGACAACACCCTGCTAGTTGTTCTCCTTATACCTGGAGCTCAAGCTAGTGACCTGTGAGCAAAGCAGAATCTGGTTGTAGTGTTTGTTTAACACAGGCCTTAAAGAATTTCCCTTTAGAGCCCTTATATGTTGTTGGTGGGAATGTAGACTCTTGCCATCACTATGGAAATCAGTATGGTCGTTCCTCAGAAAACTTAAAATTAGAACTACCATATGATCAGCTATACCACTCCTAGACATATACCCAAAGGAACAAAAGTGCATACAGTAGAGACACCTGTATACCCATGTTTATTGTGACACTGTTCACAATAGCCAAATCATGGAATCAGCATAGATGCTCATTAGCAGATGAATAGATAAAGAAAATGTCACACACACACACGGAGTATTATTCAATCATAAAGAAGAAGACATTTGTAGGACAGTGGATGGAACTAGAGATCATCATGTTAAGCAAAATAAGCCAGCCTCGGAAAGACAAATTGAACATTGTTCTCTAATGGAATCCAGATTTTGAAAACAAGACATGAAAGTAGAAGGGGGAACTATTTGAAGGAGAAGGGGAAAAGAGAAGGTGAGGGGGAGGCGGATATAGTGGAAGTACATTGTATACATGTATGAAAAGGTCATCATGAGACTGATTATTTTGTACAGTTAATATACTCTAATGCCAGTGTTTGCTTGTGTGTGTGGTCTGTGCTGCCCAGGTCCCCACAAGAATGCCCACCATTTCTTGTCCACCTGCCCAGCTTCTAACATCTTCCCACATCTTCCTTTTGTTAAGCTCTGCCTTTTTAAGGGCAGGGACCATATCATCATATCGGTGTGTCTGACCACAGGATCCACAACAAGAGCATGTCAAAGTTGAAGCTCCATACAAGTGTGTTGAGCAGACATTAAAACATGGAGTGAAAGCAAAGTGCAGAACAGTTTGTTTAATGCGTGCAAAAGAGTCATGACTTACAGTCGTGAAGAGACTGTCTCTGGACAGTCCGTGGATTCCCCTGGAGAAGGAAGCAGGGAGCTGGATGTGAAGTGGAAGTATGCTGGCTCTTCTTCTGAATTCAATTCAAATTTCCCTAATGAATGAAAGATTTTTTTTTTTTTTTTTTGTGGAACTGGGGTTTGAACTCAGGGCTTCCCACTTGCAAAGCAGGTGCTCTACTACTTGTGCTGCACCTCCAGTACACTGTGCTTGGGTTATTTTGGAGATAGGGTTTTACAAAGTATTTGCCTGAGCTGGTCTCAGACCTCAGTTTTCCCGATCTCAGCCTCCCAAGTAGCTAGGATTACAGGCATGAGCCACCGGCGCACAGCTTAAGATTCCCCTTTTTGAAAAAGCTCAGTTCACAACATTTGAGGTGAGGCCTTTCTCATGTGGGCACCCTGTCCTCACAGCCACGAGTCTGATGTGTTCTCTTTTCTATCCTAGCAGTGTGTGTTTCAAGATGGGGTCCCAGGTCTCTGTGGACGCGGGAGCTCTGCATGTGGTGATTGTGGGCGGGGGCTTCGGTGGGATTGCGGCCGCCAGCCAGCTGCAGGCGCTGAACATCCCCTTCATGCTGGTGGACACGAAGGACTCCTTCCATCACAATGTGGCAGCCCTCCGGGCCTCTGTGGAGAGTGGTAAGGTGCTCCTTTCTGGGGTTGCCTCTGTAAGATTGATCTTGTCACAACTGAGGCTGTGGTTTCAGAGCTGGGGTGATTTTCTCCACTTAAAGCAAGTTGCCCAAATTCTGCTTTCAGAGAATCTGAAAGCAGCTACCATATGAAACCCCAGAGTAAGAACTTGGGCTTCTCCCAGGACCCAAGGACCACACGGACACTTTATGGGGTAGAGAGTACCCAAGTATACCTGCTAACCCAGCTCTGGCAAGGGTCTCCCTGTTGGTATACAGTTCAGAAAAGAGTCAGCCCAGTTCTACCCCTTTACCTCTTTTGTGTCCATTCCCCAGGGTTTGCCAAAAAGACATTCATTTCCTACTCAGTGACCTTCAAGGACAACTTCCGGCAGGGCCAGGTGGTCGGGATTGACCTGAAGAATCAAACGGTGCAGCTGCAGGACGGTGAGGTGAGCACAGGGGGCTGACCGGCCATCCTCTGGTGTCAGCAGAGGACCAGAGCCCCTCAAGTGTGGAGAGCCATCTGTGGCCTCCATGACCTATCTAGTGCTGGGCAGATGTAGATGTTCATAAACAAGGGTTTTGTCCCTCCAGTCACAAGGATATGGTTGCAGCTATTTCCTGAGCCTTTCCTGTATGCCAGGCCCTGTCCTGTGCTTTTACATAAATCTCATTAATGCTTGCCACACTGTAGCGTAGGTGGTATAGCCTCTTTTTAAATTAAAAAAAAATTTTTTTTTGTTTTTTGAGTCAGAGTCTCATAGCCCAGGCTGGCATTACAGGTATGTAGCACCATGCTTGGCACTTATTTTATTTTTTTGAGACAGGGTCTTGCTATATAGCCCAGGTTGGCTTGGAACTCACTATGTGGCCTAGGCTGGCCTCAAACTTTCTGTCCTCCTGCTCAGCTCCTGAGATCTAGTATTCCAGATGTGGGCCACCATGCCCAGCTAGCCTCATTTTACAGAGAGGTGAAATGGTTACGTAGTATAACCATGTGTAAGAGACTAAGCTGGGATTTGAATCCAGGCAGTTTCAGCCCAGAGCCCCAGCTGAGAGGCCACCTCACTGGGTAGAAGCAGAAGTGAAGCATGAAGCCTGATGTCACATCCCCAGCATTGAGAAGTCACTGGGGCCGAGGTTTACTTCCCTCATCTTTGTCTTGCACCCCTGTGTATATAGCATGGTGCCTGGTGTATCCCTACAAAGACTTGAGCTCCATCCATGAGTGGCCATCGTCTGCACAATCAGACTGAGGGTCAGCTCCAGCTCAGCCCCTGATGCAGTATTTAAAGCTAAGGGAGACTGAAGATAGGAGACCAAATTCTATCCTCAAGGAGTATGTGGCTTAGTGTGAATCACTTGCCTTAAATTAATCTAAGGTTAGAGAATCTTCTGGTTGAAAAGATTACTGAGCATCTCCTGGTCCTGCAGTTTTGGGTCATGCCTCTTGGGCTCTGGAAAGGTCCATATAGGCATCTTAGGGCTCCAAAGGGAAAGTGGGTGCTGAGCTGGGTCTGGACTCTCCAGCCACCTTTGCATTGGAGTAGCTCTGTTTTGTCAACTTTATGTATTTAGGCTCCAACAAGATTTCCTTCCCTCTCCCTTTTTTCCTTCCTACCTCTTCCCTCTCTCCCCCTAATCTTGGCAGGGGTAGGAGGAGTGTTTTTCTAAAATATCCAGGAGATTCTAAACTACCTCCACTTTGGAAGTGCAAATCCTGTTTACTTCCTAAAAGTGTTGCCTTCTCCTTACTGTTCTTCCTCTGTTGTGCCAGATCACTTCCCATTCTCTGGTGGTCTGTTCTATGGCCCAGGTGTTCTGCTTCCTTAGGGAGTTCCTGGGTTCTAGTGCCTTTTCTTGGCCCCAGTGGTTTCATTTCATTCCCCTCCAATAGGGTTGTCTTGTCCGTGTGCCCAGAGGCCCCTTCCATCCCATGCTCCTTGGCTGGTGGGCTCCTGGTGTTGGATGTAGATACTCAGGCCTCCCCAACTCTGTTCTCCTCCAGTTTTGTTTTTTCTTGTCTCTCATAGGCCCTGCCTTTCTCACATCTTATCCTGGCCACAGGCAGTACCGGGCCCTTCCCTGGCAAATGTAATGAGCTGTCCTCCCAACAGGCTGCCATCCAGGCCTATGAGGACATGGTGAAGCAGGTGAGCTGCGCTGACAGAAGTGGGATGGTGAAGGCAGAACAAAGAACAGCTGGTGTGACAGCTGGGACTGGAGCAGGGAGGACATGTGGGAGGGCCTCGGAGTTGCCTAAGCAGCTAGAGAGCTGAGAGTTATTAAGAAGAGATTTCCCAGAACGAGGCCTTAGACCTGTCACCGAGGCCTGGACAGGAGCTCCCAGAATTGTGTGTATTGTTCACTTCCCTTCGTATTTGTGTGCTCTCTGATTGCACAGAGCCTTGTGTTCAGGACAGCAGGCTTAGTCATGACCTTAATCAGTTTCTACAGCAGTCCTGCCAGGTAGGGTGGGGAGCCCAAGCATAAATTCTCTGCCCTTTTTTGGCCAGAGAGCCCAATCTTCAGGCTGGACCACCAGGCAGTGGGTTTTACGTTCCTTTCTACAGGTCCAGCGCTCACAATTCATTGTGGTGGTGGGAGGTGGCTCTGCAGGAGTGGAGATGGCAGCAGAGATTAAGACAGAATATCCGGAGAAAGAGGTGAGGCTGACTGAAGGTGCTGTGAACTGAGGGGCTGGCTTCTTCCTGCCTTATCTGATGAGCATCAGGGATTTGCTCAGGGCCTCGGAGGCTGGAGCTCTGCTCACATCTGCTGAATTTCATTTTCCATCTTGGGCTACAGTGCGATTGTGCAGAGATTTTTTCCAGAGATCCAAGATCCCACAGCTCCACAGAGCTGTTCTGGGTATGTCTTCATCCAGGGAGAGGACATGGCCTTATAAAGCTGACACTCCCCACCCCGTCTCCTTCATAATTTAGGACTCTGTGATGAAACCTACACTTTGATGACCTATTTTTGCTGCCAGTTAGCTTGGCCAAGGTCACCCTTAGTTGGCTTCTTGGGATTTTGCCCTTTACAGCCACATGCCCATGGCAGTGGAGGAGACCACACTGCAGTCCCTCACATGTCCATTCTGGGGAACCATTGACCAGCAGTGCCTTTTGTCTGCACCAGCCTGCCCTGGCCCTTCTAATGCTTGAGGGAAAGAAAAGAGCCTGGCCTGTCCTAGGCTTGGTGAGGGCTGAGGGATGATGGCACAGGGGGTCCTGCAGGCCACAGCTTGGTTGAGGCTGATGCAGGTCAGCTTCTGAAAGTCACACAGAGCCTGTGAATGGTTCTTCTTTTCCCTAAAGAGATATTGGTTTTGAAAAGAATAATCAATCCATGCTAATTTAATTATATAGTTGTTCTCTGACAAATTGTTGTAAATTATGAATGGTTGATATCATTAAAAGTTACTCATTTTGATTCATGAGGGTTATATCAGCAAAACCACCTTTTATCTGTACTTACACTCTATACAACTGTAATTAGATTTGTGGGCTTTTCACACACCAACACTCCAATACCAACTGGATGCCCCCACAGTTCAGTTCAGCTGTGACACTAATGAGTTAGTACAGACCCTGCATGTCAAGGGCTCAGTGCCACAAAACTGCTGCATCTGGATGCCAGTAGTGAGTAGCAGGTCCCCAGCGTGCCTGCACTTCTGTCTGGCTCGCCTACAAAATTGGAAGGTCCTATGATCCTCCCCTCAGGTTTAGTAGTATGATCCAGTGGCTTATAGAACCCAAGAAGTGTTTACTTTGGTTGCTGATTTATTAAAAAGGGCTGTTTAAAGGACACAAATGAACAGCCAGGTGAAGAGGCTCATAAGGCAAGGTTGGGAAGGGTCCTGAGCCCAGGACCTTCTGTCCCCAGGGAGTTGGGGTATGCCCCTCATCTGACACATGTTCACCAACATGGAACACTCTAAACCTGTAGGGAGTTTTGGAAGCTTTATCCCCTAGGCCTGATGGATTGTGAGCTCAATCCCCAGCTCCTCCTCTCCCTGGAGGATGGGGGTGGGACTGAAAGTCCCAAGCTTCCAGTCATGGTTTGATCTTTCTGGTGGCCAGCCTCTAACCCAGGAGCCCAGTGCGGGTAGCCTCATCAGAGCAAAAGATGCTCCCATCACCCAGAAAATTTATCCTAAGATTACAAAGGTCTTAAAACTCTGGGTCAGGAGCTTAGGTCAAATACCAAATATTAGAACAAATGATTTTCTCAGGACCTTATCTACCAAGGTTTTAAGAGCTCTGTGTCACTGGCAGAGTGGCTCAAGTGATAGAGCGCCTGCCTGACAAGTGTGAAGCCCCAAGTTCAAAAAAAAAAGAAAAAGAGAAAAGAACTTTGTGTCATGAGCTTATGGAGAGGTTCAAATGGTAGAGTACCTGCCCTGCAAGCATGAGACCCAGTACTATAAGGAAAAAAAAAAGTGCCCTGTGTCAGGAACTGGGGGCAGAGACCAATATATGTTTCTTGTTATGTTAAAGGGGTAAAGACCAGTCTGAAGTAGTAAATAAGTTCAGCCAACTCAGTGTAATATCTATGTGCCTATACTTGCTAGGCAAATCAGAGTAATATAAGTCACTTTTGTTGAGGAATTAATATGTGCTGAGTTACCTTCTTTATATGCATTTTCTTGTTCATTACAAAATTCCTGAGTGGGATGATTGTGCCCGTTTTAGTAAGTCACTGGGTGTCAGAGATGGGATTTCAACTTGGGAAATCTGATTTCAAAACTATGAACAGCCTGCTTCTGACTTCCTTGTGCTGACACAGACTGGACATGCCTGGAAATCCTAAATTTAGAACCAGCCTTAATGTTGACAGCAGCCCAATATAAACTTGGAATGCCAATAACTTATATATAGATTATATTATTGGAAGTGCCCAAGGATGCTTGAAAGTAATTTTCCAGCTGGCCTACGTAAGGTGTGCATTGACACGTTGGCCCATGAGTTGTCTTTGGGTCTAGGGGTGCAGGGTCTGCTGGAAGAGTCACAACTAGGAAATATGGGTTGGTGCCCAGCTCACTGTGAACAGTTCCAGCACTGTGCAGATTATTTCTCTCTGGGGCCTCAATCTCCTCAGCAGTAAAGTGGGAGGGTAGGGAGCCAGACACTCAGGGGTTCCCTCTCAAGCTCTGTGTCATTTTGTCTCCAGGTCACTCTCATTCACTCCCAAGTGCCCCTGGCTGACAAAGAGCTCCTGTCCTGTGTGCGGCAGGAAGTGAAGGAGATACTCCTCCGGAAGGGCGTGCAGCTGCTGCTGAGTATGTGTGACTGCACCCCTCCCTGGCCTGCTGACATTTGGCCCAGGGCTTGGCATGGCTTCTGGCAAGAGGGGCTGTGTTCCACCCAGCCTTTTTCTTTCCCACTGTACCTGGCGTTGAGCATGAAGCATTGCAGACAGTCTCAAGCATCAGAGCCTGTTTGAGTCTTGTTCGGCTGGAGGGACAAAGTTACAGAGGCAGGAATGTCCTGCTGTTGCTTTGGACACAGGGCAGATAGGGAATGCCTGTATGCTGAATGATTTTTTTTAAGTATATCTAAAAGATAGACTCTGAATTTTGTTGTTTTGTGGCAGAGGGCCTACAGAGTGATGAGCATGGTTTCATCCAGAGCAGGAGGGAAGAGAACCATCCAGTATTTTAGAGTGGAGTTTTAATCCCAGTGGTGGGATGCCCACACTATACTACACTGGGCCTCACCTCATATTTTGTGGGGACGGAGGTGAGGCACCTGCTATGAAATTCTCTCATGCCTATACTGCTAGCTACTTGGGAGACGGAGATGAGGATCACAGTTTGAGGCCATCTCAGGCAAGATGGTGAGATCCTATCCCGGCCAATAAGAAGCTGGGTGTGGTGACAAACACCTGTCATCCCAACTTCATGGGAAGCATAAATAGGATTGTGGTCCAGTCCAGTCTAGGCACAAAAGCAAGAACCTACTAGAAAAATAAAGCAAAAAGGGCTGGCAGTGTGGCATAAGTAGTAGAGTGCCTGTCTTGCAAGCCTGAGGCCGTGAGTTCAAACCTCAGTATTGCCAAAAAAAAAACCTAAAAAAAGTCCCTCATGACTGTCACAATCTCCTTTTGGTAACTGGTTGCAGAGGACCACGAACACCTTACTTTCAGGCTGGAGTATAGGACGCTGGCTTCCCTCACTTTCCCTGTCTTCACCTCGATTGATGGTATACTGGGAGGTCTCTTGCCCAGATGGGAGAGGACAGCTGTGTGCTTGAGGCCTTCTGTTGAACAGCTTTTCTCAGAACTTCCTGGGCAGCTTAGCCTTACTTCCCTCCAGTGATTTCCTGGAACTTTCCTGCCGTTGGATGTGTCTGCATTGTGCTTTGTGGGGCAGGACAACAGACTGAGGGAGGGTCAGACTGGGAAGGTGGGAGTGGAGTAATTGCCTCCTCTGGTCCCAGTGGCCCTTGCCTTGCCCATGGTCAGCCATGGCGTGGGCCCTAGCCTCTGCCAGCCTCCTGGTCATGGAACCCCTGACAGGTGAACGGGTGAGCAACCTGGAGGAGCTGCCTCTCAACCAGTATCGGGAGTACATCAAAGTGCAGACAGACAAGGGCACAGAGGTGGCCACCAACCTGGTGATTCTCTGCAATGGTATCAAGATCAACAGCTCTGCCTACCACACTGCCTTTGGTAAGCAGATGGCGTGAGTCATGGCCATATCCTCGGGCTATGTCTTTACTTTCTGGCACTCTCCAGAGATGCCCTATAGTTCTCAGCTCCTGAATCAACGTATTTCTGCCTTTCCCCTTTGTCCCGAAGCTCGCTCTTTCTCTTCTGAATGGTGACCTTGAGCTTTATCTATTTATTTACTCACCTTGAACTTTAAATTTGGAGGCAGGTCCCTTCTTGCTGAGCTCAGCTATGATAACAGCCTAGTTCTAGGTGGCCAGAATCTTCTAAAGTTAGGACTGCTTCCTAGTATAAGAGAAGCAAACAGTCTTCAGAGGGATGAGAAAGAGCCATTTCCTTTTATAGGAACGTGGACGAAATTTTGGGTCAGGTCTTTATTCACAGGTGTCCAGTTTTCTCCAAAACCAGATCCAAACATTTGGCTACTTTGGCTTGTAATGACCATTTGGGGAGTGGGGACTATGAAAGCTTCCTTTAAAGCTTAGCATTTAGCTACCTGGGAGGAGGTGGACTAATGTGTTTAAGCCTCCGTGTATGTGCAGGGGACTCAGTGTCTAGGTTCTATAGTTGCTTCTTGTCCCTCGTATCTCATACATTTACTCTTGAGCACTCTTCCCTGACCAGGAGCTCCTTCCTGTGTCCAATCCAGAAGGAAGCCAGCCCACAGGGATGGGATCAAGGGCTTATAATGGACATAGAACCCAAAATTTAGCACCTCATTGTCCTAGTGCTGTATTTTCAAAAGTAAGTCCTTGTAAGTCCCTTAGAAAGAAAAGCCAGTTACCATTTATGAGCCCCCTGCATTTGTTTAAAAATTCCAATCTATGTTCAAAGGGAAATTTAAGACCTGACTTGCTGTTGTAACTTGTAAAGAGCTCTGTACATTGTATGAAGCTTGCTGGTATTTTGTCTGTGTCTGCCTGGATTGGCATACTTGCCTTTGCAGGAAGGGTCTGAGGTGGAAACCTCAGGCAGGACTGTAGCAGGTGGCTTGGGCCTGCACCTCTGAGGTGACTGGACCCGCACCCAGGACTCATCCCCCTGTTCAGGCAGCTGCTTAGCATGGCTACTCGGGCTTGATTTGGGTGTCATCTTTCCCGGCAGAGAGCAGACTGGCTGGCAATGGTGCTCTGAGAGTGAATGAGTTCCTCCAGGTGGAGGGCTATAGCAATGTCTATGCCATCGGTGACTGTGCTGATGTGAAGGAGCCCAAGATGGCCTATCACGCGGGCCTCCATGCCAATGTTGTCGTGGCCAACATTGTCAACTCCTTAAAACAGAGGCCCCTCAAGGCCTACAAGCCAGGTAAGGGGAGCTCGGGTGCTTCACAGTTTCTGGAGAGTTTGGGGCTAGACATGGGGAAGGCTTTTGGGGCTATAAGGTGACTCATCCCCAGATTACAGTCTTCCATCCAAGTACTAACCAGGCCCGATCCTGCTTAGCTTCCGAGATCAGACGAGATCGGGTGCGCTTAGGGTGGTATGGCCATAGACCAGATTACAGTCTCAAAGCTGATGACAGAGACATTCCCCTTGAAGGCACTTTATAAGTAAGCTGTGTAAAACTAGTGCTCAGGAGTCTGAGGCAAGAAAGAGGATCACATGTTCAAAGCCAGACTCAGCTATATGGCAATACCCTGTCCCAAAAACCAACCAAGCAAAACCCCCCTAAACCTGGGACTCACCTGCCTTCCTACAAGTCATACACATTCCCTGCCCTGAGTCTGAAGGGTTTGTCTTTGGGAATTTCAGGCCATAGCCACAAGCAGGATTCTAGTGTGTGTGTGTGTGTGTGTGTGTGTGTATGTGTGTGTGTGTGTGTGTGTGTGTGTGTGTGTGTGTGTGTGTGTGTGTGTGTGTGTGTGTGTGTGTGTGTGTGTGTGTGTGTGTGTGTGTGTGTGTGTGTGTGTGTGTGTGTGTGTGTGTTTCTGCCACAGGTGCACTCACGTTCCTCCTGAGCATGGGCAGAAACGATGGCGTGGGCCAGATCAGTGGCTTCTACGTGGGTCGACTCATGGTTCGGCTGGCTAAGAGCAGGGACCTGTTCGTCTCCACAAGCTGGAAAACCATGAGGCAGTCTCCACCCTAACGGGCAGGTGATGCAGCACTAATACAGATGGATGACAGACTGCTTGACAAAGGCCATCCACCTGACAAGTGCTAAAGGGCTAAGCTGTTTGTTGGGAATATGATGCCAATGGTGTACTATCTGGAAACACAACTGTATAAAACCAAAACAGAGAGAAGCATTTAAAAAAAAAAAGATGTTTGGAAGGTCTCTTTGCAGTTGAGCTGGCTAAAGGGTCTTGGAAAGAACACAGGCAGCTTTCTGTATTCTTTTAGATGTGTACGCATGTGTGTGTGTATGTATATGCACATGCATGTGTGTGGGCTTAGGTGTAGTATTCAGAGCCCTGAGTAGGGTGAGATCTGGGCTCCTGGTGACTGGCATCCCGACTGTGAGTACAGGAAGGAGAGCCTGTAGCACGAGAATAGCAAGGGAAGAGGAGCTGGGGTGGAGAGATGGCTTGCAACCCAAAACTTTTCCCACATGAGTTCAGGAAAGCTCATACATTCCACAATAAACAGGTTGTTAATAGGAGCACTGTTTTAAACTCCCTAACTTATGGTTAGCACCTAGACTTTTTGGGTTTTTGTTTCGTTTTTTGACATGAGGGTCTTAATGGTGCCCAAGCTGGCCTCCAACTCCCAGGCTAAAGCAGTCCTCCTGTCTCAGCCTTCCCAGTAGCTGGTGCTGCAGTTTCTGGGACTGTTGTGCCTGGCTCCTCCCTACCTTCTGTAATCTTCATGAGTCTTTCTGTGTTTCCATTTTTGATCCTTGCTACCATAGGTACATTTAAGGAAGAGGTAGACAAAATTTCCCTCTGGCTATCCCATGATGACGGTGAGTTTTTAAGAAGCTGGCAGGAGTTAAGACTTGCCAGATGCTGAAGTTTTCAAGGAAAGGCATCGGAGATACATGATCCATGTAGGTTGACACCTGACTGGTTAACCTTTAGGGAGCAGGGGATCTGTAGGTGACTCCCAATGTATTTCTTTGTTTGGAACTGCAACAATATAAAACCAAAAATGAGGGAGGTGGTTTACTGTTCTTTAGCTGATGCTGGAGTTGGGGAGGGGTCCCTAAGGGACTTTGTGATTTTGTGCTTCTGGTTTTCCTGGCCAACTCCACTGTCAGTTGTCTGCAGGCCCAGCCTTAAAGCAGTAGTGCTTGCCACTGACTATGCTAAGGTATTCTAATAATTTCTGTTGGAGAGAGATCTTCTGATACAGAGGAACCTTTTTTGAACCACATCCAATAAATGTCCACAGCGGAAGAGATTCCTGCCCCTCCCTGCTCACGTTTGATGGTAGCCTCTGGATACTGGGGCAGAATCCTCAGGCCCACACCCTCACTGGAGTTCTCCACCCATTTCTGTGCCCTACAGTCTGTTCCATTTAGTTGCCCAGGTCCAAGTGAGACTTCTTCCTCTCTCCCAGAGGATGGTGACCCCTGGCAGCTTTGCCTAAGGCTTTGCTCTTGTGGATCCCAGCCAGCAGACTCCCCTTCTCCAGAGGCATCCTCCATTGCCTGAGAAACACAGGCCGCGGTACTGTCTAACCTGCAGCCTAGTATAGCCTGATGGGAATCTCCTGTTAGTGACAGGCCTTGTGCTCTCTGCTTACAAAGGTGTAGAAGTAGCCATTCATGGGGACTGTTTTCCAAATGGAGAAAAATGTTGCAATAAAAGAATGTAAGAAAGACACTGAATCTTTTATTTTTTCCTTTTGTTTTTTTTAAAAATCAAAATGAAACAACAACAACAAAAAGCCCAAAGCAAAACCTTTTTAGGAGTAGTTTCAGGTATTATAGGAGTCAGGGGAGGGAGGCTCTAAAACAGAAGAGAAAAGCACCCATGAGATATCTTTTCACTCCTCTCCACTGTAGAAGACAGACAGTCTACAGATCCAAGTCCTTCTCATGCCCTCTTCCCTTGGAAAAAAGGAGGAACAAAAGAAACAGGCGTCGTGAAAAGATTTTTTTGCGTGTGAATATGTGTAAAAGTCAATGCTATAAATCTAAAACGAGGTCTGTTTTTTTTTTTTTGTTTGTTTGTTGTTTTTTTTTTTAAAAAGTTCTAAAACAACAGGAAGAAAACACATGGGAAGGAACCCCTGGTGGAGACCTGGTTAATTAGGGACAGAGGCCCTTTGTAAGGAGGATATAAAATGCAGAGGGCTCCTTCTGTGGGCAGTGCCACCTCCTGCCTCTGCTACCTGCATCCCTCTCAGTGGCCCTTCCTTGCTCCTTTTAAAAAATAAACCCCCACTCTGGTGAGTGGATCCTCCTCCACCCCTGCTGGAGCGCTACTTGGTGTCGAGCTTGGCCATCTCCTGCACGTAGATGCCGATGCTCTCGCTGTCGAACAGCAGGAAGTACACATTCTTCAGTGAGGATGCGCTGGAGTCATCAAAGTGGGCAGAGATGGCCTTGAGGGTCACCTGGGCAGCTGTCTGTTTGGGAAAGCAGTTTCTGTGCCAAAGCAAAAGGAGAAAGAAAGACCATGTCATTTTGGTCCTTAGACCCACTGCTATAACTCTCTCTTGGTGTGTGTGTGTGTCGGCGGGGCGGGGTGCTAGGGTTAGGGTTGGGGGAGCAATGCCATCTTCCTATAAGTACTACATGGGACCTCACTGTGCACAGGGCTGGCCCACATGTCACTTCCTCTGACCCAGTCAAAGGGCCAGCCTGGTGGGGCAGATGGGAGGTGTCCCTCCTTAACAGGTACCACACTGACTCAGATTACAATGTCTTTTGCGAAGGTCAAAGGGCAGTAGGTGAGGAGTGCCCCGTATTTGAATCTGTGTTGCCAACTCCAGTAGAACTTGGCTTTAAAAACCTTAGCAATTCAGCATTTACAAACCTGTCTTCAAAAAAGCAAATGTGTTTTAGCTCCCTCAAAACTGGCTTACATGCTGACATGTTTAATAAAAGCAAAATGTGTGCTTAGCAGCTCTGTTTAAAATTCCTTTCACATACATTTAATCTTTTCCTCATTAACTCACATGCCAATGGAATTCATTAGCCACTCTGGGCAACACTGAGCTGGTGAAAGTTTAAGGGTCCCAAGTACCAGGGAGCCATTGATAGTGCTGTCCAATATCGCCTCCAGGGACATAGTCATGGTGGTCTTTTGGGGTCAACTACCAAGACCCCTGGCACAGGTTCAGGATGGGCTTGCCTCATGAATTCTCGCTCTAGTGCGGATTTTACTGCCCATGGTCCCGCCTATGGAGAACGCATCCACAGGGCCTGGGGGCCTGGACTGTGGACAGCTAGCCCTACTTGCTCCAGTTGAGACAGAAGCACAGAAGGTGCCTGGGTCTTATTAGTTTTCTCCACCTTCCTGTGATGCACTGACAAGGCATACCTGTGTCACAGGGCCCAGCCCTTTTTAAGCAAACAAAGAGAGACCCCTTCGCTGCTGTGGATGTGGCTGTCAAAGCCTCCACCTCCTGCTCTTCTGTCCTCCAGAGGAGCATTGGAATACCCTGGGATTCTGAAGCAGGAGGTCTGGGTAGGGGCTGAAGTTCTACATTCTAACCAGGTGATGTTGCTGGCTGCTGGCCCAGGAACCACACGGAGTAGCAAGGCCTTTGAGTCTGGTGTTTTTTTGTTTTTTGGTTCTTTTGGCAGTATTGGGGTTTGAACTCAGGGCTTCATACTTTTCATACTTGTGAGCAGCCACTTGAGTGGGCACATCTCTAGCCCTTTTTGCTCTGGTTACTTTTTGGAGATGGGACCTTTTTTTTTTTTTAATGTTTGGGTGGGACTAGGGTTTGATAGGATCTCGTTTTTCTTCTCTTTTATGCTTCCAGCTGTCACTGGGATGACAACTGTGCACTGCCACGTCTAGCTATTGTTTGAGATGGTGGTCTTGAGAACTTTTTGCCCAGGCTGGCCTCCAACCATGATCCTTCTGATCTCAGCATCCCAAGTAGCTAGGATTACAGGTGTGAGCCACCGGTGCCAGCTGAGTGTTTTCTGATCATGTGTTGTGGGCTTTGAACGTGGCAGACTCTTAAAAACTAACATGACACCTTGCCTCTGCCCTTGGCACCTCCCATGAAGCCACCTTTCTCTCTGGCTTTTGACATCAAGGAGGCAGGGGAGCTGGCCCCAGCCATGGAGACCGGCCGGACAGACTGGGGCCTGTCTCTCCATGTATTTGGAGGGTGAGAATCAGGGTTTCTGCCCTGTCCCCTGGCTAACATGCTTGGCTGTGCTGGCAGGCCTTAGCCCTGTCTTCTGGAGTGGGCAGATCAAATGTGAATACGTTGAGGAGCAGGTGGTTCCCAGCAAAAAGGCTGAAAGCCTCCACTCAGGAGAACCTCATCTTACCTGCCACTGGGGAAGGGTGGAAATGCGACAGACTTTAGCTTCTTGTCCTCGGCCGCCGACAGACAGTTCTTGATGGTCTCTTCAAGCTGTTCTTCACATTTGTCGGAGCCCCACTGGGGGATGTGACAGTGGATGACAAATTTGGCTGCAAGTCCACTGGATTGGCTGACAGCAGCTGGGACATGGGTGAGAAATACTAACAGTTATTTCCTACATCTTACCTTAAGGTGGGGGGGTTAGGCCAAATCTCACAGGTGTACCTGTTACTTCCCTGGGGGACAGGAGATCAAAGGACAGTGGGCTGGACAGCATCCCCTGTGTCTATGAGGTCCATTTAGCAGGGGGCAGGAGCTGTTGGGATTGTGCTGGACAGCAGCAAGAGCCTCCAGTGAAAGAGTTGAATCTGATGTGACAGCATGTCACTTTCATGTGGCCTGCCAAGGGCGCCAGGTTAGGAAGCTATTCATAGTGGATCCTAGTCACAGGAACACATCAAAATTATGTCTGGTGCTAGGGTGGGTTGAGTAATGGCCTCCCTCAAATATCCATGTCCTAATACTTAGGACTTGTGGCTGTCACCTGACATAACCAAAGAGACTTTGCAGCTGGGATTACATTAGGGTTCCTGAAATGTGAGAATCTCCCGGAGTCATGGATCCCTAAGAGAACCACATGGATTTTTGTGTTTTGGCAGTACTGGGTTTTGAACACAGGGCCTTATGCTTGCTAGGCAGGCGATCTGCCACTTGAGCCATGCCTCCGCCTCACCACATGGCTTCTATAAGAGGGAGGCAAGAAAGCCAAAGGCAGGAGAAGGGATGTGACGACAGAAGCAGAGATTAGAGTGATTTACAGTTCCAGCCAAGCTGGAAATGGCAAGGGAAGGGGCTCCCCTGTACCTCCAGAAGGAAGCAGCCCTCCCAACACCTCCCTTTCTGCCCCTCAGAACTCACTGCACCAGAACTCTAAGTTTAAATTTGTGTTGTTTGAAGCTACCACGTTTAGGGTGGTCATAGGAAAGAGATGCAATGGCTTTTGGAAAGCAGCTGTGTCTCTCTGCTGCAGAGATCCTGCCTTATTGGTCTGGCCTTTGCTTATGCTTGTGTGACCTATTGTGTACATCCTTGGACAGGGATGTCAACTCTAGATATCCTGCAGAGAGCTGGGGTTCACCGTAAAATTGAATCATGCCAGCCTTGTCTCACAATCTTTCATTCTTCCTTGTTTTATTTTTCACTCCCCAAACATAGCTCCTGTCAGTCACAGATCTGACAAGCATTGTGGCTTCTGAGAAGCTCCAGGGACGTCCCCATGCTCATCAATCTCCAGAGGAACAGTTTTTTGTTGTTTTTGGTTTTTTTGGTGATGGTACTTGGGGTTGAAGTCAGGGCTTCGTGCTTGGTAGGCAGGTGCTCTACCACTTGAGTTGGCCCTCAGTTCTTTTCTCTTTATTTATTTTTCTGTGGAGTCTCACATTTATGTCCCTGCTGGCTAGACCACCATCTTCCTGTTTATGCTTCCCATATAACTGGGATGACAGGCATGCACCATCATGCCCAGCGGCTGGTTACTCAATAACTTTTGCTCAGGCTGGCCTCCAACCTTGATCCTGCCCATCTCCACCTCCCAAGTACCTGGAATTACAGGTCTGAGCCATGGTGCCTGGCCCCCAGAGGAGTGGTTTTTCTGATCCACTGGCCATACTCAGGTCTCTTGGGGCAGCTGCAGCCATGCTGCTTATCTGTAAACCATGGTCCTGGTAGAACTGGGCTCTGTGCTCCAATGATCCCTGGTCCTCCTGAGGTGGCTAGGCTCTGGGAGCTTTGGCAGTCTGGGAAGGTCATGGCCACCAGGGGTCAAAATAAACCTTTCTCCCTTTAAAATGATTTTCTCAGGTATTTTGTCACAGTGATAGGAAGCTGACTAACACAAATATTATTGAGTTACAAAAAAGTGAAGTATTGATATATGCTACAACATGGATGGTCTTGGAAAATACTATGTGAAGTGAAAGAAGCCAGACATGAAGGACCACTCATTATATGATTGCATCCATATGAAATGTCCATAGCAGCAAATCCATAGAGTCAGAGAATAGGTTAGTGGTTGCCAAAGCATGGGGGAGGGGTGCACAGTTTACTGGGCTTCTGTTGAGGGGTAAGAAAGCCAAGGAATTAGAGAGTGGTGATGTCTGCACAGCATCACAGAAGTACTCATGTCACTGAATGATTCACTTTAAAATGCTTGCAATGGTACATTTATGTTATATGCATCTTGTTGCACACACACAATGAACTCATCAACTCTGTACCATCTGGGAGGATTTGGTGCATGTGGACATGAACTATCCAGACACTTTATAGTCCCCAGAGCTTATGAAATGATCTGTACACACCTGCTCAGATTCTCAGAGAGATGTTAACAGCTTTGTTACGATACATTTTGTTGCACACATTGAACATGTATGAAATGTGTGAGGCTGGAGGCTCTGGCAAGAGTGGTGTGGGGCCCTGCCAGGAATGAGGCTCAATTCCATACTTACCTTCGGCGACTTCCAAAGGGCCTTGGGATTTGCGAAGCTCCTTTACTGTTTCCAAGAACTCTTTGCCCCCAGCCTTTTCCAAGGCTTTCCCTAAAAGGAGAACAGTGAGGGGCCATTGTGGGTGTCCTTGCAGTGTTTTTAGCAGGCCAAAAAACAAACAAATGATTGAACAAAAGCTACCCTTAGAAACTAGGGCTCCAACTACCTAGTTGTTGTCCAGGCTTGCAGGTGCTCACTGAGCCAGGGCTCTTCAGCCCCTTAGCAGAGTAAGGTCAGCAAGCTTAAAGGATCTTTTTAGGGGTGATTTGACCATGTAGTAATTTCACAACATGAGTCCTGAGGATGATTAAACAATAGCAACACAATCTCAATGGAGATTCCAGTGTTGTGTTCTATAGGTTTAGGACCCATACTGAGCTTTGTAGTCTTGATCTTATCAGCACTACTAACATGTTGTAAATCTTTGGAGTTAGAGGCCAGACACAGGAAAATACAGAGATCTGAGAGGCTGAAAGTCTAAGGACTTTCCTGCTGGAAGGATGCCCTCCTCCCACCTCCAATTTTGCTGCAAGTGAGTCCATCCTCAAAATCTCAGCATCTCCTTTCTATGAAGGCCAAGTGGAGCTGCCAGGAGACTGCAGGACTCCACTTTAGCTCAGTAGGAACCTTGACTGACTGCACCAGAGGACCCAGACTCTCTTCCACACTGTTACGCCTTTTGAGAGGTCGTGGGTATTTGTCTAGACTAGGATGGCTGCTGCTTGGGATGGGGGATGAGCATCTCTTCATCTGCTTTCATCTAATGAGCTTGGTGATCTGGATGTCTGGAGCAGGTGTCAGTTCTCTATTGGTTATTATTACAGGCTGAGCACCCTCAATCTGAAAATCCAAAATCCTTCTAGGGGTGGTGGGACCGGGGTTTGAACTCAGGGCTTCACACTTTCTAGGCAGGCGCTCTACTACTTGAGCCACACCTCCTGCCCTTTTTGCTTTAGCTCTTTTTCAGGTAGGGTCTTGTGTTTTTGCCTGGGCCAGCCTGGACTGTGATCCTCTTATTTATACCTCCTACAAAGCTGGGGTGACAGACACACATCACCACTCCCAGTTTATTGGTCAAGCTGGCATCTGGATGACTTTTTGCCTGGGCTGACTTTGAACCACCATCCTTCTGATCTCTGCTTCCTGAGTAGCTGGGATTATAGATGGAAGCTGTTGTACCTGCCCTAACATCCAAAACATTTTTTTTTCTTTTGCAGTACTTGGGGTTAACCTCAGGACCTCTACCACTTGAGCCACTCCACTAGCCCTAAAATCCAAAACTTTTTGAACACCAACATGATACCACAAATGGAAAATTCTACACCAGATCTCGTATGATGGTTGGGTCACAGTCAAAACTCAGGTGCATTAAAAATATTTTGGCTATGTGTATATGAAACATAAGTGAATTTCACATTTAGACATTTAGACTTGGGTCCTATCTCTTAGATAATTCATTATGATATACAAATAATAATAAAAACAAACCCAAATTCAAAATTTGAAGCACTTTGGGTCATTTTGGATAAGGAACACTCATCCTATACTGATATTCATTCACTTCGGAGGCTTCCCTGAGTGACAGAGCTTCCCCTCTGTGTGCAAGCACTGAGTATCTTTGGAGAGCCACACTGCCAATCAATTAGCACAATGTCTCTCTGGCCGTGTTCTGCACTGGGGCTGGGGAGGAGGCGTCTTCACTGAAGCACCTGGAGTTCTGTGATAGTACTGGAAAACAGTGACAGCCTTGTGTGAAGCATCTCAGCCTCGTTTCTGTCCCACACGCCTGGCCAGTATTGAAATGCTGGGTCTGGAAGTGTGGCAAAAGTGGTGACTGAGGCTGGTAGCTAGTTCACTCTATGAAGCCAAGACATAGGTCTAAGATGTCACCTCCCGTCTTCATGTCAGGGCCAAAGAGATGTGTGGAATGCAGAATGAGTCCTCCCTCTTCAGCCTAAACTGGTTTGGTGATGCATGCCTGTAATCCCAGCACTCAGGAGGTAGAGGGAGGAGTGAGTTCCAGGCTAGACCAGGCTACATATCATGACCCCATCTTGTTCCCCCTCCAAAAACAAACAAGCAGCCTGGAGGATGGATGAGAGAGCTTCACACTATTGTGCAACCACTGATGAATGGACAAATCTAGAGAAAGGGCATCGATGGTTGCTCACACCATGCAAGGAGACAACAAGCTGGGCATGGCGGCTCACGCCTATAATCCCATCTACTCAGGAGGATTACTGTTCAAGTCGAGCCCAGGCAAAAAGTTCATGAGATCCCCATCTCAACCAATAGCTGGGTGTGGTAGCACATACCTGTCATCTCAGTTACTCAGGAAATAAAAATAGGGTTATGCCTCAGGCCAGCCCGGGCAAAAACTTGAGACTCTACCCCAAAAAAAAAACCAAAGCAAAAAGAGCTGGGGGTGTGGCTGAAGTGACAGAGTGAGTTCAATTTTCTGTAACCATCAAAAAAAAAAAAAAAAATCAAAGAGACAGCCAGGCCACTGACTAAGGAGTCTTGTTAGTTTTTTTTTTAGTGCTGGGGATTGAATCCAGAGACTCATGTAGTTAGGTGAGCGCTCTATGACTGAGCTACATCCTGGGACCCCAATTCCTTGAAATTAAATTTCTTGAAGCCTCTGGTACCAACTACCAAATTAATCAAACAACAGAGAAACTTTTTTTTTTTTTTTTGTGGTAGTGGGGTTTGAACTCAGGCCTACACCTTAAGCCAATCCGCTAGCCCTTTTTTGTGATGGGTTTCTTTTGAGATAGGGTCTCTTGAACTATTTGCCCAGGCTGGCTTCAACTGCAGTCCTCCAGATCTCTGCCTCCTGAGTAGCTAGGATTACAGGGGTGAGCCACCTGTGCCTGGCTAGGAATGTGTTTAATAAGGATGCAATTAACAAAATCCAGACTGGAAGACAACTGCTCTGGCTTTCTCAACAAATAAATTGCAAAGAAATAAAAGAGAGATGGAGTTGACAGGGAAACCTGTGGGTTACGAGACCTATCAAGCTATTACTGTGTGAACTCATTTGGCTTCTGAAAATTCTAAAAATGAAACTTAGGATGCAATTGGAATTTGAATACTAGTTATTTATTGATATGAAGTTAGTTCAGGTGCCATGATGACATTATGCTTATGTTGTTAGAGGTTAGTCCTTATCTTTTTGAGGTTGTTCTGAAATATTCACAGATAAAATGATATGATGTCTGGAAGCTGAAACACACGTGATTCCCACCTGCAGGTGGTAGCTGCATCTGGTTGCATAGGGTTTCTTTTCTTTCCTTTTGTACCACTGGGGGTTGAACGAAGGACTTCCTACTTGCTAGGCAAACGTTCTGTTACATGTCTGCATATTACAGTCCTGCATAGGGTTTCATTCATGCTTTTCTGCTTTGTGTGTGTGTGTGTGTGTGTGTATACATGCGTGCATTTTTCTGTAATAACATAGTGGGCTTTTTTGCAGGGGTGGTGCTGGGAATGGAGTTCACAGTTTTGTTCATGCTAAGCACACGTTCTACCACTGAGCTACACTGCAGCCCCATAGCATGGTGTTTTAAAGGAATAAAACAGGGCCTTAGCTGAATGGGATGATTGGTTTGGGTGTCAGTGGTGGAGAAGGGACTCATGATGAGTGAATTTCCTAATAACACAGCAGTAATAAAAATACTGTCAACTGTCAAATGCTGATGAGCTGGCCTTATGCTAAGCTCCCTCTGTGTCATCCATTTACCTTCATAACACCCCTGTAAGACAAGTGCTGTTGTTATTGTAAGTACAGGTGAGTAAATGGTTCAGGGAAGTTAAAAAAAACCTGTCCAAGGTCAAAACTAGGAAGTTATTTGCAAAAGTCCACCAGGACACAGACCTGGTAGACTCAGAACCTGCTCTCTGAACCACCTGGCCACCTTGCAGCTCAGTTTTCTTTCTAAGACCTTCAAGAAGTTGACTTTGGAATCCACTAGTGGGATTTGTGCTTGAATTTTTGCTCCAGTGCCAGTGTTCTTTCTAATTCTATCGCTTTGCTACTTCTTTTTTTTTTTTTTTGAGGTACTGGGGTTTGAACTCAGGGCCTACACATTGAACCACTCCACCAGTCCATTTTTGTGATGGGTTTTTTTTTGAGATAGGGTCATCACAAACTATTTGCCTGGGCTGGCTTTGAACCACAATTCTCCTGATCTCTGCCTCTTGAATAGCTAGGATTATAGGTGTGAGCCACTGGTGCCTGGCTATTCTGCTACTTAAAAAAAAGAAGTATCATTATTGTCTTTCTGATATAAAATGCAAAACCCTAGAAATGTATAAGCAGGCGAAATAATGAACGTTGATTTTGTGACAGGCAAGGAAGCGGTCAGGAAGATCATATCGATAGACATGTTGCCGATTAAACAGCTAGGGCGTGGCGTCCCTTACCACAGCTTGGCGCTTGACAAGTCCCTGAGAGGGCGTGGAAAGGATTGCTTGATCAAGCCTTGTCCCTTGTACGTCTCAGACAAAGATAGCTCTTATGTACTACTGTAACTTGCCATGGGGTGTGTCCCTATACACATGCGGCGCTTGATTTTTCCTTTCGGAGACTCAGCTGGGCGCTCTTCCTTGCCAGGCAGGGGAGTCAATTTTAAGCAGCCCAGCACATTTGTTGGATCCTAGTTGCTGCATTACACTGGGTGGCGACGTTATGCAGTTTAGCATTAATTGCAACCACCCGGATCCTATATTACAAGACTACAGCGTGGGATTTGGGCCATTACCTTTCCTGCCTTTTTTTACATGCTTCATCTATTCGATCGTTGCTCATAAGGGCTTAGCTTGTGAGCCGGGCATCCCCTCGTCCTATAAGAAGTTGACATGCTGCCGTCTCGGCAGTCACGGGTAAGTTGAAGGAGATGGGTAGGGCGTTGGCACTATCTCATATGTTCCACGTGCAATCCTTGACCAGCTCTCAGCTCCGTCACCATTCCCAGATCCGCCCTCCACTAGTGACAGCGTGCCCTCTGTAGAGACATTTACATGGGCGAGGTGGTAGAAAGGTCTTAACCTGTCCTTATACTCTCCAGCTCGGTGTTCGTCAAAAAAGAGTGGCGTCCCGATTGGTGCGATAAAGGTGAAGGCTTACGAGGCCTCTTTTTCTATCTTTGTTTTCTATATTTGCAGACCCAGACGTCAGCCTTCTTCACTATGCTGAAAGTCATCTTTGTCTGCTGGATTTATCCCACTGGCCCAGAATCTGTGCGCCTCTGAACATACTGAATTTTTATAAGGCTAGCCTTCAACTAATGATCTTCCTCCTTTTTGCCTTATGTATTGCTGGAACTTCAGGCATGAAATTACTTAGTAGGTGGGCGCTACTGTCCTTCCTCTTTGTTACCTAAACAGGTATATGACGTTCAAATGATAAAGCTTAAAACTACTCTGTAATGGGTTTATATTCAAAAACTACATATCGGTGATAGACAAATATTCACTGAGGTTTTTTTGAATGCAACTGTTTAGTCATTGCTCAGCGATGACTCTTTATCTTGGAAACCTACACAAATGTGGATTCAGATGTAGTTAATGAGGGATTCTTGTGGAATATGTGTAGTGTAGACCATGCAGATTCGTAATGTTAATATCAAAGAAATAGCAACAGCTGTGTATACACACTCATCGCCTACGCAACTCAGGTGTGATAGGGGACCTAGATTTCAACAGCAATCACTAGGCTGAGAAAAGAACAGCCCAGACGACGAAGCAAGTAACATAGAAGTCTTCATTTCAATGACTTCAAAGTAGGAGATCGCAACCCCGGTCTATGCTTTTAGACAAACCAGTTTGTTCGTGGTTTACCTCATCGAGATAATGTACCAGAGAAGGGGGAGTGCGGGAACTGACTAGGTTGCGTAACCTGCTCGACTCCGTCCTCGAAGCGGTCTGTTTCCTCTTTCGTGTATGGATCTTTCGGTGGAAACAGCCTAGGTCTACACTTGGGTTTTTTTGCGCAAACAATTAGAGATCCACGGTGGGAAGGGTCGGAGGTTATGGGAAAACGCGATGAAAGATCGAGCGAGAAACGAACGCTGACTCCGTGTAGCTAAATGAGAATTGTCCTTCTATAAATACCTCAATGCAAACTTCCCAAAGTATGTGCAGAGTTAAAGCAAAGTTACTCTCTAGCGATGCCATTCTGTTACATATAAAATCAGAGTTCGACACAGATTCTGGGCAGTGGGATATCCAGCAGACAAAGATTGACTTCAGAGGACGTGCTTGGACAGTGGGCTATTCCATGGCACCTTTACCGGGTCTCAGGACCTTACCTATGTCTTCCTTGAGGTCAATTTCGGCTGTGGTTGGATGGACAATGCCCTCCACTCTCATGGAGCCAATATGGCTGATGTCACTCTGGGTCAGGGACAGCTGCATTAGGAAGAAAAGATGGAAAACAGGAGAAAGATCAAATTCCATTGAAAGACTTCATGTCTCACCTGATAGCCAATAATTCTCTCAATTATTCATACGCAAGGGCTTCGTGAAAAGCAACAGCCTCAAGTTTACAAACTGGTTTTTAGTAGCTCCTTTGAGCTCAGTAGATTTGATTTGCACTTTGAGGCTAGCAGCATGCAGCAAATCTGCCGCCTCTCCCGGAATGAGAATGGGACCTCTTCTCCTCTTCCTTTCTCTCACAGTTTATACCTTTTGTTCCCAGTCCTGGTGGCCTTGGTTTTGGATGACACCTCCTTTGAATGGCTCTGGGAGGGAGAGGAGCCTGACCTTTTTCTCTCCTTCTAGTGTCCTACATTCTCCTAGTTGCAGCAGAGAACTTTTGGGGCAGGACACTGAAGCCAGTGGCCTTGCTGGATGGAAAGAATGGGCTCCGGGTTTCCGACCTGTCATATCCGGCACCTTGCCTTTCGCATGCCATATTCTCAGGGCTGCTCTATGTGTTCATAGCATAGAATACGAAAATATTCCTTAATATTTCCCTATGTGAGGAAGAACTTCACGATCCCTAGATAAGTTTGAGAGAAAGCTAATCATCACGTAACTACAGATGGCCCCTGAAGGGGCACACATTCCACCTCTTGCTTCCTATTCCCTTTCATCAGAGATGAATGAATTAGGAACCTGCCACATTTTTTCTCTTCTTACAGCATGCTTTCTTTCCCACTACTTGAATGGAGGTTCACTCAATTGTCAGGCTGAAAGCCTTCAGCAACCAGAGATACGACTAGCTGACTATTTCCTCATGTATCTTATTTCAGCCCCAGTTGACTTGGGAGATAAATTGTCTGTTCAGTAAACTTTACACTTGTGGGAATGAATTATTTGCATGTCTGGCTGGGCGCTGTTTTGTTGTTAGAGACTGTTGAAATGTACAGTCCTGTTTATTTTCTTTCTGTAGCCCAGAAAGGCAGGTAGACTGAATTATTGGCAAGTAATTCATTTCTAACACCAAGGATATACAGGAAACAGATATTTCTATTTTCTTTCTCTGATGAATTTCATGGAACCATGGAAGCTGGGCCTCTCTGAGGCTGTTTGAAACTGTTAGCTATGGATTTTTTTTTTTTTTTTTTTTGGTGGGTACAAACTAATTGGGGCTTGGGGATTTCCCAGCAAAACCAGTAATGCCATCCTATCTCCTGACCAGGAAAGATCCTTGGGCTGACCTTTGGCTGACCAGTGTCAGCACGAACAATTCTCAGCATTGAAGGGCTTGTTCACTCTCACAATGCAGAAATCGCCCTACCTCTTCCATTTGAAAATGAATAATTCAAGACTAGAGTGAAAGTCATATTAGGGGAGAAAGGGACGAAGCAGTTTCATGGCTTGTCAACAGTGGGTTATAAAAATGTAATCGTGTTTTACTGCAGTACATTAGGACTTTATTACCTTCTGCCCTGGAACAAGGCTCTTTGATGACAGGATGGTGAATCCATCCCCTGGCCCATCTTCAGAGGTGGAATTTGAAGTTCCTTCTTTATCGCTGTCCTTTGGTTTGGACTGTTGGTAAAAATCAGTACAAATGAGAAAGAATCCAAAGAAAGCCCAATGTGGCTGAATCAGCTTCTTCCATGGCTGCCACCAATTTGGCTATGAAAGGAAGTGGTATGGTTTTTGTGGTTGTTGCTGTGGTTTGCAGTGCTGGGGACCAAACGCAGGGCCTTATCCATGCTAAGCACACGCTCTGCTACAGAGGCACACCCCCTGGCCTCTGCTGGGTGTGAGGGACAGCAATAATAAGGAAAAGAAAAGGGTATTTGAAAAAATAAAGTGTACTAAGGAGTTCAACATTCCTATAGTCCTTGCCCCACCCTGGACATAGGCGCATTATGCTTGCCTGGTTCGGCTCACCTGCCTACAATCCAGTACCTGCAGCTTATGGAGACAAGTAGGTGGCTTACAGTGCATTGCCTGGCCTCCTTCTTCCCAGAAATCCCCTGAGATCTAGTGGCAGTGGTGTGATTTTTTTCTTATCCTGAAGGTCTGTGGAGTGAAAATTCCTCACCTCCAAAGCAGCACTGCTATTCAATAGAATTTTCTGTAATGGAAGTTCTTTGTGCCTCTACTGTTCAGTGCTACTGAGTACTTGAAATGTGACTGGTGCAACAGAGGAGCTGAACTTTTAATTTGGCTCTTTGTTTGTTTTTGTGATACTAGGGTTTGAACTTAGGGCTTTGTACTTGCTAGGTAGGTGCTCTACTGCTTGAGCCATACCTCCATCCCATAATTTGGCTTAACTGTAATTCAGTTTTAATAGTCACGTGTCAGTAGGGGCTACTCTACTGGGCTACAATAAAAATGTTATTTCACAAGTGGCATCACTGAGCTAAGCTACTTAGCCTCCAAACACCTGGAATCCATTGGCCTAACCCAGGGCACTGTGTACAGGAGTTTGTTTAGCCTGCAGCATGAGCTCTGCGGAGAAAGCAGAAACAAGATTCCAGGCTCTCTCGCTTATGATTTTGGTGGGGGCAGTGTTGCAGTTTGGATATTAAATGTCTTCCCACAGCCATGTGTTGAAGACTTGGTCACCAGTCCATGGTCCTATTGGAAGGTGGGGGAACTTTCAGAAGGTTGGACTACTGGGAGTAAGTTAGGTCATTGGGGGTGAGCCCTTGAAGGGGCTGTTGCAGCCCTGGCTCCTTTTCTCTATCTTTACTTCCTAGCTACCATGAGGTGAGCAGCTTTACTCTACCATGTGCTCCCAGCATGACGTTCTGCCTTGCCACAGGCCCAAAGCAACAGGATCAAGTGGCCATGGACTAAAACCATGGGCTAAAATAAATCTTACCTCCTTTTATCTCAGATCCTTTGTCACGGCAATGGAAAGCCAACTAGTAGTGGGAGTAAAAGGGATCTGAACCCCCTACACTTTGGGTGATGCATCCTGTTTTGTGGATTTGAACTCTAGTTTCAAAGGCCCCTTACTTTTCTATATACATAGTCTTGTCACTTTCTCCCCGCACTGAGCTGGAGAGTCCCCTGTCCTTCTCGCCTACTGACTCTGCTCTCATCATTTCATCCTTAAGACTTCCCTCTCATTCTGTGGGTGTCTTAGTCCATTCTGCCTGCTAGAGAAAAATACCACAGACTTGTGGCTTATAAACAACATAAATGTACTCCTCACAGGAGGCTGGGAAATTCAAGATTAAGGCTCTAGCAGATTCCACGTCTGGTGAGGGCCCGCTTCCTCATAGGTGACACCTTCCTCCCGTGTCCTCAAATGGTAGAAAGGGCAAACAAGCTCCCTTGAGCCTCTTTTTATAAGGGCACTAACCTCATGTCTGAGGGCTCTCCATTATGACCTCATTACTCTTAATCCCATTCCTTGGCAGGTACATTTCGAAAATGAGTTTTGGGAGGATGCAAATATCCAGACCATAGCAGCGGGCATGCCTGCTCATGAAATGCACGTCAGCTTACCTTTTTGGATGTCCGTGGTTTGGCAGCCTTGGATTTCTTGCCCCCCTTCTTGCCTGATGTGGCCTTCCTTCCTCTTTTCTCTGGAGGTGGGGAGAGGATAGTTTCTGACTTGCCTTTGGTCCCTCGCTTTTTAGCCAGCAGTTCGGGGTGAATTCTGGGCAGGACACCTCCACTGGCAATGGTCACTCCTTTTAGCAGCTGGAGAGAGATATGTGCACATATATGGCAAAGACCTTGCTGATTCTGGATTTTTTCTTTTTTTTTTTTTGGATGCTGGGACTCAAACCCAGGGCCTTGTGGATTTGGGGTAAGTGCTCTCTAAGCTGAATTCTCAAGTCCTCGGCTTTTTGAGACAGGATCTTATGATATAGCCCGGGCTGGCCTGGAACTCACGATCTTTCTGCCTCTGCCTCTTGAGTGCTGGGGTTATAGTAGGAGTGTGCCCACCATGACCAGACCACTTCTGGATTTAATACAGATCTAATCGCTGGTAACACAAGGCTTATATGTTGTCATTACTTTCTTAAAGAAATTGTATAATACACAATTTAATTGGCTTTTCTGGCTTTTATTTGTAGAGTATTTCTTTGTAGGTCTTGAGGCATCCTGGATCTCATACAGAATGCAAAACAAAGCAAAGCATAATAATAAGCATAAAAAAAAGGGTTACAGAATTGAAACCATGGATGCTGCCCAGAACTTTGGAATTCCAGACAAAACAGAGCACAGCTGAACAAAACTAGGTTCAAAGCTCAACACAAAGACTAGCCCCATTAACAACATGCCAGTGGTCTACACGCCAGTAATCTACACTCCCGAACATGTGTCCTATCAGGGAAATATGTTTGACCATGCGCCTTCCAATCATTATGCTTATTTGCAAATAATCAACATGTACTCCTACACTAATATATTCTGCATGCCCTAAACCAGCAGTCACCAAGAGTCATTAGTTACCCATCTGTGACAAGAGGAGCACAGACTCATGAGTAAGAGTCTAGAAACTTTCACAGGAAATCCTAAGAGTTATTATATACCTACTAAATCGATAATAAGAAATTGTGGCTTGTAGTTTTTATGTCTTTGCCTTTTAAATTTTCCTAGGAATCAATAATTATTACATTTTTTGAAATTACCAGTCTGTGATGGATTAACAATAAGACCTTTTTTTTTTTAACTACAGTTTGAGAAGAATGAAATTTGAAAGTAAATAAGAATAAAAATTCTTATGCTATTTACCTGCCACCTTGTGTATCTGGGGAGTGTGTGTGTGTGTGTGGGGGGGGGGATGTGTGCATTCACTGACTTTGGAGTCAGTTCCAAAATACAAAGGGTCAGTTCTAATATATAAACAAGGATTTTCCTGCTCTCATCCACATGGTTTGAAGAAATTGCCAGGAATAACAAATGTGCTGCCCTTTCCTCAGCAGCACAGAACTTGTTTTTAATGAGGAAACAGAGTCTGGCAGGACCCAGATGGCATAATGGATCTATTCCAGAAACAACCTGGTTTTGACTCTGAATGACGGGTCTAGTGGAATTTGTTCTCTTACTCATTCTGGAATTTTTGTGCAGATGGGAGTAGGAGCCACCGCAGGAATGAGTCAGGGTTCACTTGCAGCTGCGTGCATGGCAAACCCGTCCCACAGCTGACTATGCTTCAGACTTACCTGGTTGAGCTCCTCGTCATTGGCAACAGCCAGCAGGATGTGTCTCGGGGCTATCCGGGCCTTCTTGTTGTCCCTTGCAGCATTCCCCGCTAACTCTAGGATTTCCGCTGAAATATCAAAGGGGCATTAACAGACAGTCACAGAATGGGGTCCATGCTCCTTTTCTTTAGAAATAGACTTTGAATTTGATCACATTTTCTCATTTGTGATTTTTGTTTGTTTGTTTTGGCCTGGGTCTCGAAAGAAATCCTGAAAGCTGAAATGACTCAGGTTATGGATCAGTAAGATATTTTAACAAGACCTCAGATATCATGGCAAAATCTTCAAGTTGTTTCTCAACATTAATTCTCTCTCTTCTTTAGTTTATTAGTACCTGATTTTTTGCTGAGCCCATAACCACAGCAACAAAGACTACATTTCCCATCTTTCCTTGTTGGTAAGTGTGATCATGTGACTAAGTTCTGACCAATGAGAGGCAAACAGTTGTGCTCTATGGAATTTCTGGGAAGAGTCCATCAATGAAGTGGCTGTGCCCTTCTTCCCTTCCTACTCCTAGACTGAGGATCTGATGGCTGAAATTTGAGCAGCCATCTTTGATCAAGAAGAACTTGTGGATGACAGAGCAGTAAGACAGAAGGAAACTAGACTGTCTTTTCTAGATTTCTTTTATCTGAGAGAGTGGAATAAACGCTCTTGTTTAAACCACAGTCAGTAGAAGTGAATCCTGCCAATATAGAATTCTAATATAGACAGAATTTCAGTCCACAGAGTAGCACCAACTCTGAAAAAAATAGTGATGTAGGCAAAAACTGTATTTGGTACCCATTGGGATCCCCTATAGAGTCTCCCATTCCTTTGCTTGATGCTCCAGATTCCCCTTGTCTTGCAGCAAAATGAATGTGAAAGACTGATTTATACAGTGGGATGAGGAAGTGCTATAAAGGGAATTCCTAAAGATGACAGCCATGAGTGCTAGGTGGGAAGGCATGTTGGGGCCCAGGGTCTTCCACATATCCCTCAGGCCTTAAGCATGGCATTGGTAAATGTAAAATGCTAATAAAAATGATTTTTTCACTGGGCTTGGTAGTTCAAACCTGTAATCCTAGCTCCATGAGAGGCAGGATCATGGAGGATTGTGGTTTGAGGCCAGCCCAGGCAAAAGGTTTGTGAGATCCCATTTCAACTAATAAAAAGCTGGGTGTGGTGGCACATACCTGTTATCCTAGCTGTTTGGGAAGCATAAAGGAAGATTGTAGTCCAGGCTGGCCTGGCATACATATCTCAAAAATAACCAATACAGGGACTAATTGAGTGGCTCAAGTGGTAGAGCAACAACCTAATAAGTGTGAGGTCCTGAGTTCAAATCCCAGTACTGCAAAAAAAAACCCAACAACACAAAAAGGGCTGGCGGAGTGATAGAGCACCTGCCTAGCAAGCTCAAGGCCCTGAGTTCAACCCCCAGTACTGGCTCCACCCCCCCCCCAAATAAAGATTTCCCCAAAGCTCTTTTACATGCTATCAAAACTTTGGGGGCAAAATAATAAAAATCAATACAAATGCTTTACGCCATCTTTATGCTTTTTCCTCCTCTGTCTTATTTTATTATTGTTCTTTATTCTACAATTTTAAAGGCTATTATGCTGAATCAAATTTGTTTCCCTGAAAAAATTTGAATGAGCCAGGCATGGTGGTGTATGCGTGTAATCCCAGCACTGGAGAGGCAGAGGCAGGAGGATCTTGGGTTCAAGGCCATCCTGAGCTACATGTCTGAGATCCTGTCTCAAAAAAAAAAGTTTAAATGAGCCTTCAAAGAAAAATTCCTTCCTTTACTTCTCTTAGAAAGCTAGAAGCAACATGCCAATATGTTGTCTCACTGATAATGCAGGAAAAAAGTGTGTGTATGTGTGTTTGCATAAATATGTTCTGTGTGAGTGTGTGTACAGGCATGTGTGCATGTGTACGTGTGTGTGTGTGTTGAGGGGATCTGTGGTATAATGGCAAAAACACTCAGCCATAAATTACCAGGCAATTCTTCATGAGTCATTACAATCACCCTAATTTCAAATAAAAGAGCGCATGAAATTGCCATCATTCATAAAATCTATGGCAATAGTAAAAACTTGGCATAAGTATGCCATATTAACTAAGCAAATGTGATTAACAAAAAATTAGAATAAAATAAACATTAGAGTTAACTATTTATCTGGCATCTCCATAATGAAAAGTGCTAAATCACTGCAAATTCATTCTCGCATCTTTTCTACATTAGAAAGCAGTGAATATTGTGTTTGCCAACAATTCATTTATATAGTGACCTTGTATTCTTAATCAAAGATTGGGGCTTTGTAGTTGGAAAAGTATTGGCACCCTTATTGGTGTTAGGTCCCTGGCATTCTTGGGGCAGGTGGAAGGTCCCGAGGCTAGCACTGAAACCAGACCCCCTGATTTAAGCTTGCCAAACCCTCCTGCTTATTTCTCCCCTGATTGTTTCTCTGCTTGCAAAATCTCAGGAACTTCCAGTTACTCAAGTAGGCAGTTATGTCAACCTGTTCTATCTGGTGATCGCAGACAATCGGAGACCAGAGACTCTCTGCCTCCCCCTGGCTTGGCCCCTCCTATAAACCCCATTTCAGCCAAGCCGCTGCACTCTGAACCCGAGAGTGACAGTCCTGTGGTCTGGTTCCTAATAAATCTTTCTTTTCTACACCTGGTGTGGTTTTTATTCTGTAGTTCCTTACATCTGGTGCCGAAACCCAGGAGAGGTTAACAGTACACTCTGGCCCGGGCTGGTCCCTTGGCCTTCATGTCCTGCCCTCTCCTGAACCCAATCTGCTGAACTGACTCCACGTGCCTCTGGACTGTAGATTTTGGACCTTACTGCCTTGCTGGTTTTCCCATCCATCATTAGCCTCTCTTCCACTGCTCTCCACTTGACCTACTCCTCTCCTCAGGCTCGGTAAGTGTCACCTTCCTCGGGGCTGCCTGCTCTGTCTGGTCTGGTAGTCGTGGCGCCGCACCAGGCACACCTCCTACACCCACTAGGGTGCCCCTCTGCTTAGCACGGGGACGCCTGGCTAACTGGTTGGGCATCCGAGGCCGGGCATGCCTGCCCTTGGGAACCTGTTAGGGTGACACTTCCCCCTCCCTCTCACTCACTCTCTCTCTCTTGCTCTCCCTCCCTGTTTTCTTTTCCTCTGCCTAGGGTGAGAGCTCAACAGCCCCTCCAGCTTACTTTGACCAAACAGCAACCGGATGATTCTGCTCTCCTTGCCTGAGTCACATAAGGGAGGCTAGATCTTGACCTAGATCTATATTGGCCTGAAGAGTAAACTCACCAAGGCATCTGCTCTCTCTCTCTCTCTCTCTCTCTCTCTCTCTCTCTCTCTCTCTTCCCCCACCCCTTTTTTCTTCTCTACATTATGGGGACCTCCCACTCTACACTAGATGGGTCAACTGGGATGCCTTCTCCGCACCCTCCCCCTTGGTCTCCAAGATGATATATAACCTAAGCGACTGATTTATTACTGCAACACCGTTTGGCCTCAGTACAAGCTAGACAATCATTCACAATGGCCTGAAAATGGTACTTCTGATGTTCACACACTTCTAGGTCTTATCAATTTCTGCCATTGCAATGGCAAGTGATCCGAAATTCCATTTGTCTGAGCTTTCCTTTCTCTCTGCTCCCAACCCTCCCTGCTCCAATCTTGTAATACTGTTCAAATCCTCCTTGCCAGTGACAAACCCCCCACAAAGTCTGTGTCTCTCCCTCCCTCTGACCCCTCTCCTAGACTCTTCTCTTACTTGTGACCTCACGGGCTCTGTCTGCCCACCTCCCAGCTCCTCCTGCCAGTCCTCTACATCAATCTCTTCTCCCACCCTGTTCTTCCATGACCCAGACCCCCCTTCTTCCACCTCTGCTGGTTCTTCCAAACATCCACCACCCTATTCCCCTTCTACAGTGGTCACAATTGACCCTGAGCCATTGGCTCCTCGAGGACCAACACCGCCACCATTGCCCTCAGCCCCTGTTACACCCTCACCCTTCTCCTCCCCACCTGCATCCCATACCTGCTCCCATACCTCCTCCCAAACACGCTCAGCCCACCCATACCACTCCGGGAGGTGGCAGGAGCTGACAGCATTATCAGAGTTCATGTGTCCTTTTTCATGACTGACCTCTCTCAAATTGAAAAGAGACTTAACTCCTTCTCTAATGACTCAGCCTCCTATATTAAAGAATTTAAATACCTAACCCAAGCATATGATATGACTTGGCATGAGACCCATCTTCCAAGGATGGAATAATTATTCTCAACTCTCATTTTATTTCCCAATCCTTCCCTAATATTCAAAGAAAACTTAAACAGGCAGAGGGTGGCCCTCAACCCCCCCACCCCACAGGAGATCTTGTGAAAATGGCATTTAAGGTATTTAATAACCAAGATGAGGTTTGAGACCAGTGAAAGGCACAGCTCTTGACGGCTGCTCTGAGGCTACCTCTTCCAACTTCAAGACGGGCTGGACAACAACGCATGCCTCCAGGGACCTGCTTCAAATGCAAACAGACAAGACATTGGGCAAAAAACTGCCCTTCACTTCGCCGCTGCCAGGACACTGTCCACAATGTGGCCAGAATGGACCCTGGAAGGATGACTGCCCCTCTTTGTCTCTGCAAGGTAGTTCAATCTCAACAGAGTAAAGGCCTCACGGACCTCTTAGGCCTGGTGGCAGAAGACTGACGCGGCCCTGGGACCTCGGCCCCCTTCAAGAGCACCTCGGAGGAGCCCAGGGTAACTGTCCAAGTACCAAGTGGGCCTCAATCACCTACCAGACTTCTCAGGTAAGCTTTATCCTTCACACATCTCCATGGTGGGGGAGGACGGTCTCCTCCACCAGCCAAAAAGGAAAGACAGTTTTATTTAAATTTAAAATTCTTATAAAAGTTAATTTTAAAATCCGAGTTACAAAGTAAACAACTGGAAAGGATATAGATGGTAAACTTCAATATGTGACAAAGTTAAAGTTGACTATAATCTAAGAGTTGCCAAAAAGATTTTTTAAGGTCATGTCAAATTAAAATCAAATTTTCTATGTCTATAAAATAACAAGGTTATCTTAATATTGTTCTGCTCTGAGTAAAATCTACAAAAAAACTGTTATAGGGAAACATTTTATCAAAGAAATTATTTGTGTTTTCTGCTGATCTTGTCAAGCTTTAAGTACTACTAAATCAGAGTTCATTTATGTATTTGCTCATGTGTCTTAAATGACCACTTTATAACAGTGTTGTATCTATATTTTTATCTAAATATGGTACAAGCATTTACAAAGTTAAAATGTAAATTTATATAAAATAATGAGCTAAAACTCTCTTGTATCCAAAAGTGTTACATTTAACCTGCATCCTGACAGTCAGCCTGTTTGCCTTTAAAGATTCCACAAACCTTCACAGCAACTAACATGGACAGTTTTGCCACAAGAGTTTAAAGACAGCCTTTATCTTTTTAAACAGACCCTAACCAGAGACTTATTAGGTTGGCACTACCCAGAGGCCACCCTTCTTCATGACGTACTTCAGTGCAGAGCCACAGAGCCCCTCATCTGCAGAGTGACTGAGTCCTTTTTAAAACTTTTTGGCCTCTGGTGATACAAAGTCTCTAAGGAGAAGGCTCAATTATGTCTCCCACAGGTCACCTACCTAGGTGTGTTCTTAAAGGGACAGATTCACTCCCTGAGTTATGAGGGAATCAACCCAATCCTCCGTTTCCCACTTCCCCATACCATAAAGCAGCTTAGCGCTTTCTTGGGAGTAACAGGATTTTGTAGAATCTGGATCCCTAGATATGCAGCCTTTAGCAGACACCTTTTTATGCTCCTTCTAATATTTCTATTTGGGTCTTACGTAATAAATCCTCTCAAGATTATTTCCCCTCCCCAATAAAGGTGCAAACCAAACCAGTTCACCTGAGAAGGCCTGCAAATCCATGGCCAATGAGAAAAACCCACCATACCAGACCACTCCCCTGAAGCCATTCCTTCTTGAGCCCCTTTGAAATAATGTATGGCCACCCATTTCTTTTAGGAAACTTGCCTCCAACAGACCCTGCTCTTTGGCTAACTATCTACCTTATCTTAACCTCCTCCAGGAACTTCTCAGAGAGCATGCTGACCAGATCCTGCCCCACACTATAGCAATTTCTGTTAAACCAGGGGATCTTGTTCTCCTAAAGGATTTTCGACCCTCTCCATTGGGACCTTGGTGGGCCGGACCTCATCTGGTCATCCTCACAACACCCACCACTGTCAAGCTCAATGGGATCCCCCAGTGGCAGCACCTCTCAAACATTGCCCACCAACTTCAGACTCTTCCACTACAACAAAGGATGAGTACTCTTGCATACTGCTGGGCCCCACGTGGCTATGCCTCTCCCGCAAACTCTCTTCTTCTTCTACTCCTACATAAATTCTTAGTCCTCATCTGGCTCTCAATTTTCTGCCATAGGTGAATTTAAAACACTGGTAGGGGCAGTAGGCCTAATTCTGGGAGCAAGCCTACTACTTCCCTGCTTCCTTCCCTTGGTTATACGATCTATTAGGTCCATTATAGAGGCTACTATAGAAAGAAAGACAGCTGCACATGTAATGATGCTATGGAAATACAAACTCTTAAACCAGGAAAATGCTCTTTAACCCTAGATGCCTCCAGGATCATTCAGGGAACTCAGCAGACAGACATCCTACCAGATGCTACTACAACCTTCTCCCAACAATTGGCCTTGTCTGCAGATGAAGCCTGGGAAAAACTGTCAGCTTCCACTCCTGGGGACATCACAAATTTCCAAATTCCAGCTGAACCCCCCCTTAACGATGCTCCCACTCAGCACGAAGCAGCTAGATCGATCGGTGCTCATAATACCAACAAAAGGCTGGAATGTAGGTCCCTGGCATTCTTGGGGCAGGCGGAAGATCCCGAGGCTGGCACCGAAACCAGACTCCCTGATTTATGACTGCTTGCCAGAGCCCCCTGCTTGTTTCTCCCGATTGTTTCTCTGCTTGCAAAACCTCAGGAAATTCCAGTTACTCAACTAGCCAGGCATGTCGACCTGTTCCATCTGGTGATCGCAGATAATCAGAGACCAGAGACTCTCTCCCTCACCCTTGGCTTGGCTCCTCCTATAAAGCCCACTACCCATTTCAGCCAAGCCGCCTCACTCTGAACCCAAGAATGACAATCCTGCAGTCTGGTTCCTAATAAATCTTTCTTTTCCACACCTGGCATGGTCTTTATTCAGCAGTTCCTTACAGTTGGGACAATGGGATACAATATTTGAAATTAATGCCACGTTAGAGAATGCCATAATGCTGCATCAGGTTGCCATCGACCTTTTCTTTCTCTTAAAAATGATACACACCAAACTGGGCAGGGTGGTGCAGACCTGTAATCCTGGCACTCAGGAGGCAGAGGGAGGAGAATCATGAGTTTGAGGCCAGTCTAGGCTACGTAGTGAGATTCTGCATCAAAACAAAAGCAAAAAACCCCAAAAGACACATCAAAAAGTGGGGTTGTCATAAAATTTTCCCAAACAGGCTTGCTTTATGACTTGAGGTTAAAACATACAGCTCCCCATTGTGCACCATGATGGGGAGTTTGCTGCACCCACTCATCTTGGCAGGGGGCTATCATTTTTGGGGTCCACACTAGGGAGAAAAGAGCATTCTACTTTTTTTTCTAAGTAGGAGGGGGGAAGAAGGAACCTCCCAGTTTTAAGCTTCTGAGTGACTGAAGTGAATTTGGCATCCTGGAGCATCCCTCTCCTGCCTCCTGTTACCTGCAGTTAGAAGGAGAAGTTAAGCAGCTTCCTCCCAAGTTCATCAACACTAGGTCAGAGTGAAGGGAAGACCTACATGCTTGGCACCTTTAGGAAGCTCCTGAGGAAGATCAGTTTGTTTGATTCACAGGCTGAGCAACAGAATCTGCTGGAATCAAAGGCAGCATAGGAAGAGGCTAAATACAGCAATTCAGCTGGTGCCTGTGGCTCACACTTGTAATCCTAGCTACTGGGGAGGCAGAGATAAGAAGGATTACC